CTGCGTTTCCATTTACAAAGCCATACACAAAATGAATATCCACTAACTATTGATTGGAGAATAAAAATGGCATTTTTATAAAACTTACAAAAAAAAACAGGTAAAAGAAACTAAATTTCGTGCATTCACAATTGCAAAAAAACGTTTCAGGTTTCAACAGACAACAAAACTAACTGTCAACTAATTGACGTTTAACCTTATTCTGCTTTCAATTTCAAAAATATTTGCAGGCACAGCCTACTTCTAAAAATTATCGAGATACTAACTTTTTAACGTTATTTTATCTTAAATAATTAAAAATGCATCGAACCTTAAAAATCGAAATATCTCAAAAACGGCTAACTATAACGAAAACTCACGGGAAAGCTTTTTTATGTTGAAAAGTGCGAAGAATCAGTTTTTTTATTCAAAAAGCAAAAAATTGCACTAAGAAAAAATTTTCGGTCATTTTAGTACACTACAGGTACAGTAGAGAGCGCCCTCTAGTGGCTACAGTAAAACTGTGCCCATGGTTCGTTTTGTCGTATCAAAAAACCCTTGTATACCAATTTTCACTGTTATACATCAAATATTGTTCGGAATATTTAAAAAAAAACTATTTTAGAAAGTAAATTTAAACACCCTGTATTTCGGAAGCCACGCATTTTTCGACCCATGTTTATATGGACTTTATGCATTAATTTTAAAAGTTCTATCGAATCTCAAAATTATGCAACAATAAACTGAAACACCCTGTACACTTAGACATGAGTAAGATATAGTCATGATTGAATAACAACTTCAAAATGCTTGGATTTCTCTAGTATTCATCAGTCATTCAATTATATCCTTTCATTTATTTATTTCATCAAATATAGTGTGTGTATCAAGTATTGAGATTTCGCGCCCTATAGGATAAGTCGGGAAGATATGAAGAGTTCGATTGCCGCTGTCTAGGAGAATAGGCATACAGTGGGTCCCAAATTAGCTTCTCTATACAGGGATCTTGGCTCCTGTTATACCTACAGCAACTGTTAGATGTTTTAGAGCAAACTTTTCAGCAACCCGTCTCAACTTTCATTTTTCTTGTAGCCGCTATATTGGATTTTTTTATTTTTGAAAAGAGCGTAAGATTTCCAATCTAGTGATGTATGACAAATGCATAAAAGATTGGAGTATCATCGAAATATCATCACACGTAATATTATGTACGAGCCCCTTCCCACTTCAGTTGGCCCACTTCAAGATTTGTACCAAAATATGCCTTTATAAACTAAACATGAAACTATTTACTTATAAAACAGTTTATTTTCTCAAAAACATTTTAGATACACTCTAGTCGTAAAAAAATACATATTTGAAATCACTTAGACCTATAACTAATAGAACATCTGAACAAATAAACAATATGCGAAAAAGTTAACAAAGCAACAATTGAAGATTACCATTGAGTAACATCACCTTTATTTTTTATTACGGCTGAAATTCTTTGTGGCACAATGTTAACCAAGTTTTTTCAAAAATTTGGTGTAAAACAATCCCATATTTCTTGAAGCTTTTGTCTCAGTTGGGTGATTGTACGAGCAGGATGTTGTCGTAGAACCTTTTTGATCTCGTGCCACAAAGTTTCAATGGGTGATAGATCTGGACTGCTAGAAACCCATTCAAAAGTGGTACATTATTTTCTTCCATCCATTTTATAGCCTTTTTTGAGGTATGGCACGCTGCACTATCTTGCTGAAACACAAAATCTTGGCTGGATGTCAAACATTCTTCCATCACTGGTAAAAGCGATTCTTCTAAAATTGCCAACTATTTGTTTGTATCCACATTTTCATCAATAAAGTTTTCCTACTCCTTTTGATGACATACTGCTCCAGACCATAATGGATGCTGGAAATTTCAATTTTCTCTTCAGACAGTCAACATGGAATGCTTCATTTTTTTTGCGAATAACTCTACTGCGACTGTCACCAACACAAACTTCGAATCGGGCCTCATCACTCCATTGTATTGCACATCATTGTTGAGGTGTCCATTGTCTATGTTCTTTACCCCATCTAAGCCGATTTTCCTTTTGCAGTGGAGTTAATAGTGGCTTTTCTTTGGCCTATAAACAAGTTGTGCAACTTTAGGGCTTTTACTTCACTTTTTTATAAGAAACCTTACCTTGCAAGTGCTAAATACAGTTTGTGTGCCTCTCAATGAGTTGAGGACCTCGAAATTCTCCTTCCAACAGCGTCACTCCACAGAGCACTCAATTGTAAATAATTGGCACGCCTGTTTTTCACGATTATTCTTCTTAATGCTCTTTCGTCGGCATTTGTGATATTATTTTTTTTCACATATCGTGGCTTAATATTAACTGAACCAGTTACGTTATATCTTCTAACAATATTTCTCACACTGTCCTGCGATAAGTAACAAAGTTGCAATTTCTGAGTTTGATTTCCCAGAATTAAAAAATTGAATTATCGGTTACCGAATTTTCTCACTAATAACCTTTCCTCTACCCATTTTGAAAACCTTAACTACCCAAAACTATTTTAAACGTATTCTGACAGCTGTGATTAATAAAAAACAATTTTCATGGCTTTTATTTTTCAGAGCCAGCTATGCGTTATAGACTAATTTTGCATTGAAATTAAAATAGGTTGATATGCTGTAATTGCAACATGTGTATTTTTTATGCTGCATATTTGATTAGGGAGTGATAAAGTTGGTGTTTTCTACTATATATTATCAAAATATTCATTGCTAATATTTTAAACCTATAACACCCTGCTACATTTTTGTTATTTGTGTTTGATAAGGAAAAAACTAAGATTTCAATAGTTGGGCCAACTGAAGTGGGAAGGGGCTCGTATTAGTTTTGTTCTAAGGACGCCATGATTTATTTGTCAGAAAATAAGGCATAAACGCCTTGAGTTTTCAATAGAATATTAACGTTAATATCGACTTCTCAATAAGTCAAATGTTTTGGGACAAATTGCCAACTATGAGCATGTTGAAAAAACAAGTCAGAAAGATCGTCGTAAATTCATTTTACACTTGAACAAACAAACCTTTTCGAAGTTGTAATGTAATGTAAAATCTAATGTAAGTGGGTATTAATTTACAGATTTGCAAAATAGTCCAGACATTTTTAACATTTGGTGTGTGCTCAAAATTCTTTGTCTCATGATTTCTATGGTCGCGGGAGTATCAAATTCATATACCCCATTCTTTACTTTACTTTACTCCTGGATTTTAAAGCTGTTTTACTTTCCACGTAATTGGCGAGGAAGTATTGTAATCGTGAAAAATTTCTAAAATGAGATGTTATGTTTTTTTAAGTCATATGACATCTACATCACGAAAAACTGTTCCACTCATCAACTTGGAAATAACCCCTTGGATTTTTATGAAATTTCTACACGGGGTTACTAGTATGCCAAAGCTTTGTACTTTTAGTCCAGTGGCAACGGTGCTATAGGCAAAAAAGGAAAAGTAACAATTGCTGAAACTCCGTTTTTGACGTTACAGGGGTTCCTTATCATTGACAGAAAAAATGGTACTGCTTAAAAAGTGGGGGTTGGGGGAAGGTGATTCTAAATGTTGCATCTTTGATATCAATGAAACACGTTCTATTATTAAGAAGCTTCTGATCCCAGTAATTACAGGAAATTTAAGTAACGAAAATCCCATGAATAATGTGCTCACGATTTGAAAAAATCGGTACCTGCTCTATAGGTTTGTCACCAAGAGCCAACAGATCTATCTGCAGCTGCCGACAGTAGGGAAGAATGAATTCGGATATCACTCTAGTCAAGTATAGGGGAATTTAGCGTGGAACTTTAAAATTATCGATATGTCAAGGAAATATGTTTTTGAGAACGATAATTTGGTAGATTTTATACCTGGATTTTCATTTGAATTTCATGACCCGTGAAATGTACCCATTTCGCCGTTACGTTCAATTTATGTTCTGCAGAGTGTGATATTTTTCTGTATATAAGCATAATTGCCTAAGGTGCTATCAGAGCGTTTTACAAAATTTTGTCTTTGCGCAAGAATTATCGTGGGTTGAAATGCTTACTATTTGTGCTCAACTTCTAGATATTTTAAAAAGATCCTAGTGGATAAAATCGAAAAAGCGGATAGCACCTTGTGGACTTTGTTTTTAGCACGCTGTAAGAGTTTAATTTGGAAATAATAAAAAATGAATCGTAAGCTGTGAAGTGCAAATCGGTTTTTGGGCGAAATTCGTCTACTGTTTCGTCCTGCCAGTCCAAGGGACGCGACGGTGCGTTCCGACTAAGAAAAAATGTATACAAATAATTTGATATATTTCCTAAAATAAATTCAAGAACTCAAATTACAATTCGTTTGTTCATGTCAGTAAACAATTATGTTTACAAGGGTCATGTGGTACATGGTAACAATTGAATGAGAGTCATAAAAATAGCATATGCCGTCAAAATAAGAGGACACAGTTAGGTAGTTTTTGCAAAGCAATAAACAGGTATGCTCATACCTGGATTAAGTTCATTTCTTGTCTACTGTAATAGGTAGATGGAGGCGATGCTGCCAGAAATGGATGTGTGCGATCAATAAACAAACCACAAGACTGAACTGCGGTGTCCAATGATTCTTGTACTGCTTTTCTTATGCGTTACTAGAATACTCTGTTGGGTATATGATGGAGTTTACTAGAACTTTACAGCTTGTCGTCTGCCTTCTTCTACAAACTTCACCAAATCGAGACGCTGTCAACCTTATCCTCCGATGAAGACGCCACAAAGCACAGTCCTGTGATTTGATGACTGGTTGGATCTGCAAAATCTCGTCGTTACTTTTTTTTAAGTTTCCCTAAAAATTCTTGCTTAGCAACCTTCAAATCAATGTCGTCCATGTCAGGTTTTTGACAGAATTCGCCATAAAACTATTCATTTTCTTTGGAGTTGCTATCCGAATTGTTAGTTATTTTCATATCAGCTTTTTTTGGCCTGAGTTTCTTTTCAAGATTATTGCGTTTGAGTATTTGTTCCATCTTAGCGATAAGCGAGGTTGGAGTAAGCTTAGAACGCAAATGAATTTGGACCACATACACAGGCCGCTGGGTAATGTGGCTCAGTACAGCTGCAGCACATCTTCCATGGTATGACCTCTTCTTGCAATAATTTATTCGCTTACTCCCCAATGTATTTTGCGATTATAGAGTTGAACTGCTCTACACTATTGTTGACCTCATCATGAATTAAACTCACTGCATTCGTAATTAAAATGGTCGCAGCCTTGATAAAAAAAGGCACTCAAGAACAATCACACCAACAACAATTCAACAACACAATATCGACGAACAGTAACAAGGGGTGAAAAATACTAAATGATCACTTGCTAAGTACCAAAATAGGAAAGGATTTACAGGCTAGATCGCTAATCGAAATCCGACTCTGTTATTATAAAAATTTACCTTGGTATGCACCCGCAGTCATCCTTTCCTCTTTTAAAGTAGCGCCAGCCCACCCTCGTTTCCTTTTTACCCCCCGGTTACCTCAGCAAATGGTGATCGTGATTGTGTGACCGTTAAATCGGGTGACCTAGGAGACCAAGAAACTGCTCCACCTCTGGCAATCCAACGGTGCGCAAACCGCTGGGCCAAATACTCACGTACTTGTGCAGCAAAGTGAGCCAACGCTCCATCATGCTGAAACCACATTTGCTTCAATGGAACGTTTTCAAGATGTTCTGGAAGAACTCCCTCCAAGAAACGCCGGTAAATAGGTCCTATTAACCGTTCCGGTAGAAGGTATGGCCCAATGAAATAATCATCAACAACACACAAGCGCCGGATGTTTGTCCCTATACTCAAATGTTTTCTACTGTTACACTGAATAACCCCTACAAGTTTGGTCCCATAGTTTTGAAACACCCTGTAGATTGATTTCGTACCTGACCTGACTTTATATATTGGAAACTTTGCCTCCCTGTATCTGAAAAGTTTAGTCGATGAGGACATATGTTTATATGAAGTAAAATGGATCCAAAAATCGCCCTTAAATACTGACATTCATTTAGGTAACATCTTTTATAGGGAATTTATCCACTTTGAAAAAACTGAGGAATGTTCCAACCTGTTCTCCAGATTTTACTTTCTGGTTGACTGATTATAATTGCGTTGCTTCGTTTCAGCATGGATACGAACATTTTAGGAGCCAGTACGAAAATATCCAAGTGAGCGGAAGCATAAAGACTACAATATACGAAAATAGGATGTTTATCAAGTTCACAATTCTGAAGGATCAAGTAGATCATTACAAGACTTGCATCTCTGCCGTGGAAGTCCGATGGCTCAGGTAAGGTTCATCATCAGAAAACACCTGCCATGTAGTTCTTACTTTTAAAATTGTAGTATCTGTTTCCTTTTCCATGGGCCTATAAAAAATTCTCCACTTTTGACTTAGAATCCCAAAAGCATTTTCTACTACTCTCCGCGCCCAGTATTGTATTTTTATTTTCTAGCGTCTGCTTTCGACTGTCTATATGGACACGGTCTCATTAGGTGGGGTTTAAGGGCAAATCCTTCATCTCCAATCAAAACATGAGGGCACACCGTTTACTGCCAATGCACTGCGATCTTTTCGCTTCGATATGAAAGTCCCTCAGATGTTCAGTCCTTTAAACAGAAAAGTCTGGTTCATACTTGATTCACCCTCGTAGATACGGTCTACTCGGCATTGGAAAAACTAGTAATATAGTCATTTTTTCCAACAAATATCGTGATTAAGTTTATATCTGCGCATCGCAAATACCAAACAGAACGTAGTACAATTAGACATTAAGCAGGAACGTGGGCTGGTAACTACGGCAGCTAATTTGACGACACGAGGCATCTGAACGGTCCCGTACAATTACTTTCCTAATTTGTAGTCGAACAACAGGGACGTGTGAAGGTACTTCCATCCTACTATCGCTTTTACATGGTTACGCTGTCACTGGATAGGGAGCATTCATTTGAAGCTAATTAAAGACGTTGTTCTGGCAAAGGTAATTAGCTCTGGCTGTGGTACAACCAGGGATGGCCATTTTTCATCGACATTGAGACGTCGATAAACGTAACGTAACATCGATGGCTATGAACAAGCAAAACTGTCTATACTGGAGTGCGGAACAGCCGTCGCTGAAGCATCAAAAACCACTTCAATGGACATAAATAATAGTTTAAAAAACACGCTTTTAAAACTAAGTAGTAAAAAGCGTCGGGTGCTTTATACAGGGTGGCGCATCGAAAACGAAACAGAGGCATTTACTCAGCTCAGTTTTTTTTTAAATGACGCTCAGACCCATCGATTTTGTTTTCGAGGGAGGCACAAGTTTGGCACCCCTAAGCAGGGGTGACACCACCCCCAACATCTTAAATGGAAAGGGGGGTCGAGTGATACCTTATTTTAAAGGTCTTTCAATTTCCTTTATAATGATATAAAATTAATGTACTTCAGTTCAGTAGTTTTGAAGATTTATTGATTTAAAGCTTAAATAAAACTAATACATCATCATTAAACGCCGCCGCATATTTTGCAATATTTGAGGAGTAATTTGAAGGCACTCATTCACAATTCTTTGTCGTAGGTCTTCTAATGCTATTGGCTGAGTAGCATAGATTTTGCTTTTTAAATGATCCCAGATAAAAAAATCCAAAGGTGATAAATCTGGCGATCTTGGGGGCCATGCAGTGGCACCTCTTCTACCAATGCATCGATCTGGAAACGTCTGATCTAAATATTGTCGAACACGTAATGCGTAATGTGGTGGGGCACCGCCGATCATTCTGATTTTCAATTATGACTGTTAATGCAGGATCTATGGCGTCTTCCAGTAATTCCAAATACATTTCACTGGTCAAATTTCCAGGTAAGAAAAAAGGACTAACTAAATGATCGCCAAAAATACCAGCCCGAACATTTAATTTTTGTGGCTGCTGTGTATGAACCTCACGATAAATTCAAATTTCCCGCCGTCTGATCCGCCAATCAGAGCACGCGGTGGGCGTAGCGGGGCCCGCCAATCAACATATACCATCAACCCCGTTCAAATTTCCCGCCGTCTGATCCGCCAATCAGAGCACGCGGTGGGCGTGGCCAAAGTGGAAGTGGTGGGGGGCGTGCAAGGTAACCTAGCCTCTACTAAAATTAATACATATGTTTTTTCCATTTAAACTGAATCCGCAGAATTGCATCCATAATTACCATTATTCATCGGCTTTTATCGATCTATATGCAAATATTTACCGCAAAACATGAAATGAGCCACATCACTTACGCATAGACGTGTTTTCCTATCTATTCTGTTGAAAAATATCCCTATCCCAAAGTACACAACGCAAACTTACCCGCGCATCACCTACCCCAACACCTACCACGAACGCCACAAACGCTATCTACACCCCCGTAGTATGCCCGCACCAGCACCAACCAGAACGAGCCCCATGCACATGTGCATGAGCCTACCTTTTGTCTCACACTATATAAAATATTCTTGGCTCCCCCCTGTATACTACACCTTACTATCGTCGGCTGTCTGAATCACTTCCGGTCGGGTGCGCCATCTAGCGGGGCCCGCCAATCAACATATACCATCAACCCCGTTCAAATTTCCCGCCGTCTGATCCGCCAATCAGAGCACGCGGTGGGCGTAGCGGGGCCCGCCAATCAACATATACCACCAACCCCGTTCAAATTTCCCGCCGTCTGATCCGCCAATCAGAGCACGCGGCGGGCGTGGCCAAAGTGGAAGTGGTGGGGGGCGTGCAAGGTAACCTATTCAAAGTTATGACAATTTACTACGCCATTTAAGAAAAAGGAACATTCGTTTATAATTCGTTCACTCGTATATCTCCACAAAATTGTAATCGCCGATCAAAATCGTGTTCATTAAGTTCTTGTACCAGGTGAATTTTATACGGATGAAAACTATGGGCCTTTAGAATCCGTTGGACAGTACGTCGACTAACACCACACACAGTCTCCAATTTGCGGGTACTTAACGTAGGATCTACATAAACTTGCCCTAAAACCCCCACTTCTATTGCTTCGTTCCTTATGGGATTTTCAATGTTGCGTTTTTTATAGGCGGCTGTCCTAATTTCCCGAAATTTAGCTACAAGTTCTAGAACGTATTTTCGATGCACGTTACTGTTCTCATGTCGCTCATTAAATATTTCTGCTGTTCTATTAGCGCACTGATTATTTCCGAAAAATATTTCGATAATTTCAACTCTTTCTGCTGTGGAATATACTATGATTAATTTATGTAATAAAGCGTTATAAGTTATTTTAGCAACAAAGTTTGGTCATATCAATCGCAAACTATGTACTAAATTCCTATTTAAAATAAGTACGAGATATTTCCTTTCTTCAAGAAATAACTTTTATGCCACAAAAAACGCTCCAATAGCTATTTCCAACAACAAAATGATAAACAAACCATGGGCGCAGTGAAGAAAAGCATTTACTTATTAAGTTAATTCTTTTAGTCAAATTTCTTCTGAAAGTAGTACAAACTAATCTGATGTACCTATTAAAGTCTACTTTAAACTTTAAATCAATAAATCTTTTAAACTACTGAACAGAAGCTCATGTATTTTACATCATTATAAAGGGAATTGAAAGACCTTTAAAATAAGGTATCATTCGACCCCCTTTCCATTTAAGATTTTAGGGTTGGTGTCACCCCCGCCCAGGGGGCTTCACGTGTTAACGTGATTTTTTGCCAAACTTGTGTCTTCCTCAAAAAAAAAAATCGACGGTTCTGAGCGTTTCTCCAAAAAAAAAAAAACTGAGCTGCCAGTAAATGCGTCTGTTTCGTTTTCGATGCGCCACCCTGTATATTAAATGTTTAAATAATTCTATGGGCAACTACCTATGAGAGGAGAGTTACGAAAACGAAGTAAAATGCACCCCACGCTTTTTACCCTGAATTGAATGATTCTGTTAATAACAAATTTTATTATAGTTTTGTTCTTAGGTCATTAATTATGATTGATTATTCGACCATCTACTACTGCAATATAAACTCTTTGTAATTAAAAATTATTTTCTACTTTTTAGTTCGGTTAGTTATAAAAGCGTGTTTTTTAGTTTTTTTAAACTATTATTTATTTTCAATCTTTCATTTCGGTTTATCAATTAGTTTTTTGTGGGCATCTAGTATTACGAATCATTCCGTAATCTAATCATTTCATTTAAAGCTTCACTGTTGCATGGGGTTTTTCCTGTTAACTTAGAGCAATCAAGCTCTTGATACGTGTGCGAAGTTTCAAATTAATCAAATTTTTGGAAATTGGTGAAAAATGTGCTCAAAGATGCATGTTAAAAAGTCACAGTTTGGGCAGCTATATCAGCTAGCTTGGTTGGACCCTACTTTTTTAAGAACTATCGCCAGCAATAAGTAATTGTTAATTTAGAACGGTATGTTCGAATGCTGGGAAAGCTTTTGTCCCTAAAGCTTCAAGATTTTGATGAACACAACTCCATGAGTACAGGAATGTTCACTGGAAAAGTGATATCGCGGGGAGGTGACATTAATTGGCTACCACGACGAGCTGACTTCCCACCCGAATTCTTTTTATGGGGATAATAACAATAATTCAAACACCTTTAACGAATTAACGCAAATCATTAGACACGAACTGGCGGCAATCTCAAGAGCAACTTGCAGGCGAGTGTTCGACAATTTGAGGTTCCATTTTCAAAACGTAAATTGCCAGTGTCCTTTTAAATCATAAACATTAGCAAACTCTTCTAGGTATAACCTGCTTTCACTTACATTGTTTTCAAAAGTGAATGTTATTATGGCTCACCCTGTAAAAGACGGAAAGCGAACGTGTCCATTTACTCCTAATAACAAATTTTCAACCCCTACAAACTGACAAACTGAAAATAATCAGGACCGTCATCTGGAACGTCAAAAAATGAAGTTTGGTCGATTTCTATTTTTTTGTTTTTTGTCTCTAGGCCCTGCGCCACTGGATCGATTTCCAAAACCTACTAAGCTTTTACGAAATTGGTAAAGTAGTAACCTTGTGTGAAAAATACCACTACTAAATTCTAGAACATGATCTCATAACTACTTAGGTGCCCTGTGGTATATCAGCAAGGACTACAGGAGCAAATACAGGGTGTAAACGTTATGATAGTCATTATTTAAATGGGTGATAGAGGAGGTTAAAAGAAGCAAAAAGTTTCATATAACGGGGGGGTCAAAACGGCATTTTTTTAGAGAAAAGCGACTTTATAGTAAAATAGCTCTTAGGTATTATTTCATCATTTGATAATGTACTCGTAAAATGCAAACAATT